CACTAATTACATAAATTATCTGTCGCAATACACATGATTCAGTGATTTTCATCTACTTGGAAAATGATATGTGAATGAGTGGTATAATTTGAAATCAAATCGAAATCAACTGAAATTGAGTAACCCAATTGAAATAAATTAAAGTTTAGAGATTCAAATGAGATATCAACAGGCCTATGTTTTTGTTTTCGATTTGGAGCATCATATTAAATTTGAATGGAAAAGGTAAAGAAAATAGGAGAAAAGACGGAAGAAAAGAAATGTATAACAAGTTTGAGGAACGTGCTTTAAAGTTTGTAATGACCAGTGGAACACGCAATGTAGATCAATTCCTCACTATAGTCAAAGAAGAAAAAGGGCACAAAGAAACAAAAGAATAAAGGCAGATATCCAGAGATCCTCAAAATCATACAACATAGAGTGTAAGAAACACTACACAAAAAAAGCTAGTCAAGAAAGAAAATTGAACCTGGCTGGCTATGAATATGTTTAACTTTTATCTGGACAAAAATATTTAACTTCATCCTGATTATAACGGTGAGATATATGCAACCGGATATGAAAAGCAATGCCTCAAACACTTGTTGGTTATATAGTATCGAAAATTCGAGGACTAAATATTCACTGATTGAAGTAAACACCAAGTTATTAAATGAAATTGAGGCGAATTTCAAAATTATCTTCAATGCAATCCAAAATATATAAAAGTAAAAGTGAAGATGCTCATCTTTTTATATACTAATATTAATTCATTCTCATGTTGTGCATTTTTTAGAGGAATATATGCTAATCAATCATGAGAATAGTATAGTTTTGGTATGTAAGGAATAAAGCAGTCCTGCCATTTCTGGAATATTTTTTTAACAATATATTAAAATGGAGTTGAAGAAAACTGTGGGGTATATAATATATCTCTTTGCATGCATACACAAATCATACACTATGGCTTCTATGTTGCAATTCTTCCCTATTCTATATTTACCCTTCATTTTCATCTACTGCACGGCATTCAAATCCAACCTCAAGGCAAGCAAGTGTTTATTTTAAAATAATATCGTATGCACGAACATTTTGGAGTGTGGCATTGTGAATTTTATTGGTTACCCTAAATTTCATCTGTTTTTTTATGGTAAGGAAATTTGCATATCGTAATTGTTTTGTATGCTAAAGTTTCGTTCTTAACAGCCGTACATTGTGTATTTGGGGAGTTCCTCGAATGGCAATGGAGGAGAAGACTTGTCTCATTTGCAATTGTTATCATCTTTGATTCCAAGGTGGCAATTTCTGTATGCTTAATCATAACTAAAACTTCTGTCAAGAATTTTATGTTATTTTATTGACGAAACAACTAACAATGACATTTTAAGATAAAAGTTCGTCGCTGAAATTGAAATTTCAAGCTTAACACGTACGTATTCCTTTTGGGACAGTGAAGAGAGCGACCGAATATCTTTATTGCAATCTTACAGTCATGCTTTCAAGGGCTTTTCTGCCATACTTACAGAGAATGAAGCATCTAGATTATCTGGTATATAATAATACTCTTCCATTTGTATTTTCTGGGCCGTGATACGGATAACAGAATAATATTTGTAAAATTAATTACTACTACAGATTTCACTTCTAAGACCAAATTTTTTGTTGTTAAAAATTCAAAACTTTTCGTAGAATACGTGGAAAGAATCCAAAATACATATAAATGTTCTATTTTCCAAAGCAGGTTATGACAAGGTTGTGTCTGTATTTCCTGATCCGGTCCTGAAACTCCATACTACACGTTCCTGGGAATTTCTGGAAGCCGTAGACGATAAATTCAGATCAATCCACCCTTCGAACGAGCACAAATCGTCTGATATCATTATTGGAGTTATAGACACAGGTCACTGAAGCAGACTGTTTTCACCACTCTTCATACAAATTTATTCTGCTTAATGGAAATTTATGAAATATTCAACTTGTTGATAGCATTTTATAATTTCTTTAACAAAATATCAACCTAAACACATTTGTCTCTACTGTTTGAATCTTTTTTCGTAGGTTATTTCTATTCGCCACTAAATTCACCCAATTATTTAATAAACCAAATTCTTTCCAATTTGATATTTATGTTTGATATATGAGTAATTGTTTTAGGCATATGGCCCGAGTCACCAAGTTTTAGTGATGAAGGTATTGGCAAGATTCCATCGAAGTGGAAAGGAGTTTGCATGGAAGGTTCAAATTTTAAGAAATCCAATTGTAATAGGTACTCTCTTGTCGCACTTTGAGAACCCTACTTTACAATAATGTAAAATAGAAATGCATATCTTACTATTTGCTTTTCATTTTCTTTATACCCCCTTTAAACAATATGAGCGCGTTTGGCTTAGAGACTACGCACTACTCGATATGAATAAACACTACAATCAACTAAGATTCTAGTATGTTCATTTCTTTCTTAATATTGTGGTATGCATAAGCCATAATAATATATAATTTATGGATATTTATGAGAGATTAATCTTGGTACATTTTAGGAAGTTAATAGGAGCCAGATTCTATAACAAAAATAGGAAGGGCTCGCCAAGAGATAACATTGGACATGGAACACACGTTGCTTCAACAGCAGCCGGAGCACCGGTCGATAATGCCAGTTACTATGGGCTAGCACTTGGTATAGCCAGAGGTGGATTGCCTTCTGCTAGAATAGCAAGTTACCAGGCATGCTTAACGGATGGATGTTCTGGTTCAGTTATCTTAAAGGCCATTGATGATGCCATCAAAGATGGAGTTGATATTATTTCCATTTCTCTAGGTATAAGTTCGATTATGCAATCGGATTTTCTAAATGATCCTATTGCCATTGGAGCCTTCCATGCGGAACAAAGGGGAATCATGGTAGTTTGTTCAGCTGGAAATGGTGGACCCGATCCTTATTCCGTTGTTAATACAGCTCCGTGGATATTTACTGTTTCAGCATCGACTATTGATCGTAATTTTCAGACGACTGTAGTGCTAGGAAATAATCAGTCCTATGAGGTACGAAATTTACTAAGACACAAACACCCTTGCATCGATTCATATTCTTTTGTAATAATTATACATATAATCATGTAGGGAACTGCAATCAATTTTTCTCCTCTTACTCATGGGAAAGCATATCCTCTTGCATTGGGAGAAAAAGTTGCCGCTAGTTTCACTCCAGCATTTGATGCCAGGTTTATCCATCCTTCCTGAAGTTTGGAATCTTCATATTTATATACCTGTCCTTTTCCTAGCTTCAAATTAAGCGTATTTGTAGGAATTGTATCCCGGGATCAATAGATCCAAAGAAAGCAGCAGGCAAAATAATAGTCTGTGTGAATGAAGATCCGAATGTCTCAAATAGGATAAAGAAATTAGTGGTGGAAGATGCTAAAGCTAAAGGTTTGATTATAATAGACACAGAAGGACAACTTTTACCATTTGATTCGGGCACCTATCCATCTGCAGTAATTGGGGAAAGTACAGGCTCTCGAATTCTCAGTTATATCAACTCAACTAAGTAAGATTATTTACTTCTCTCATCATACACTTTATACATTGGTTATTATGTTATCTATAAAGGATGTGATTTATGATTTATCCCTAACATGTCCCATAAGATGGTTATTCATTTCTTGAAACCCGTCTGCTCGTTGAGCTCGAACTGAATTGTATACTATGATAAACAAACTTTTTCTTATTATTATTTATCACATATATAGGAAACCTACTGCAACTATACTTCCAACAAAAGTAGTTCCAAGGTTCAAGCCAGCCCCCGTTGTAGCACCTTTCTCTTCAAGAGGCCCCGGAGGTCTTACAGAAAATATCCTTAAGGTTGTGTTATTTAATACTAGTAATTGAAATACTTCTGCTAGCATGCACTACAACAAAGTTTACTTTTTACATCGTGCATTACACGCCGTAAAAAGTTCTTTACGGCGTACAGACGCATGTCGTATAAAGCCATGCCATATATGCTCTACCAATGTTGAATTCCCGGAATCAACTATTTTACTTTTTTAAATCTGAAATTAGAACAAATCTTTGTTGACATAAATTAAGTTGGAAATTGCAGCCTGATATTATGGCTCCTGGAGTAGCCATTTTGGCAGCCATCGTGCCAAAGATAATACCAGGTTATAGTCCACCTGGGAATAAGACTTCGTTGTTCAGCATAAGATCTGGAACTTCAATGGCCTGCCCTCATGTTACTGGTG